AATATGGAGGTGATTGCATACAAAGCGAAACAAAAAGTCATCCCAGGCTTTAGAAAGCATTCTGGTGCCTTCTCTCTTATCAGTGTGCTCCTTTAAATTCATGACTTAGGGACAGGGATGAATGTAGCTATTTTGCTCATTTATTTCTTTGTGGATAAAGTCATTTCAGAATTTTATTACATTTAAATGCTCAAGTCGGTTCTATTATGCCGCAAACCATACACCAGCCAGAATGTCTCTTTCGCTTGCAGAAATGTGTAACTTGATATTCTCGTCAAGTGCCAACCATGGGAAACACAGGTTTAACTTAACTACTATTTTAAAAAAAATTAATATATTTTTATTCTTCAAAACACATGCTTCTCAGTCTTTATGACACTAGTATTTAAGTCAATATATCACCAAGTGAATATAATAAATTATAGTGCTATGAACTCTAGGGAAATTTTATTAATGTTTTTAATGTATCCTCACGGAATCAACATATGTTTTTTATATATTCATAAATTTATGACTTCAAAAGTCTTCAGTTTCAGGGTGCTATGAATGTTGTAATGGATAAAAAATACATAATTTTAAAATGATGTTCTTGAATTTTCATATACTCCTGATAACCATTAGCTCTTGCATATAGTAATTAGAATGATATTAAAAACTTGCAAGTAATATTTCTGTAGCTTAGTTGATTTGGGCCAAAGGAATTATTTCCAGAATAAGCTGGCAGGTTCCTGCTTGGGGAATTAGGACTCCAATGTCCTTAACTTTAAAATAACTTGCGTTTCATTTTATGCCTGTTTCATAAAATAGTCATTCATTTTCTTACTGAATTGTAAGCAAACTGTGCCCTGTCAGTAAAGGCCAGTCAGTGGGTTTAGTGTGTTAGGTTGGACAAAGGGAAATATAATATTAAGAATGGTGGCCCTGTGGTTGGGTTTTTTAAAAAACAAACAAACAAACAAAAAAACACCTTACTATGGACTTGTAAAGGGAGCTGGGAGATAATCATTGCATCTTCCTATCTGCCTCCTAGTACCTAGTAGATTCACTATAAGGTGTTAAAGAAGGAAGGCATCCAAAATGGTGCTTTGCATTTTGAGATTTCATGATATAAAATACTTTCTTTCCCATGTCACTTTGATGCAATTGTACTGGGATTTGGAGTGAGGATGTACTTATCATTTTGGTTTAGATTTTCAGGCTCAAAAATCAAGATGCAAGCTAGTGACTCTAGGATAGTAGCTTAAAATCAAGACACAGCAGGTATCTGTGGGGTATATAGACCATGCATGGGTGTATGGTCTACATAGCCATCCTAAGTCATAGCCATTAGATACCTTTGATGGATATGTTTTTCCCTTCATTTTCAGTTTCTTTCTTTAAAATATAGTTTTTTTAAAAAAATTAAACAACTAAAATTAAGCAAATGCATCTCAAAAATTATTCCCGAAGTTCTGAAACACTTTTAAAGAAAATGCCATTCTTTGTATGTTTCCACAATTTTTGTATCCCAGTATTATTAATCAATTCAAATACTATCTTTAACTGTGTCTAATTTGGCTCTTCCCTTTAAATTGGAATTACAAATGTTTTAGGACTGTAATCAATGTAGTACAAAACGCTTTCAGTTATTACAGGAAGTAATAGGATCTATTAGCAGTTTTCCTCAATTGGGGTGTTTCCAAAATAAGTCAAGTAACTTAGATTACCCTTTCACTTTTCATGTTATTTATTTTCTTCTTTTCTCCGCACATGAACAGTAGAATGAAATACATCTCCTGAGTGCATGAGCTTGTCCACAGGCACAGCTGCTGTTCCCAGCAGAATGGAGTCATTTCCCTTTGACAAGGAGAGAGACTTCTTCACCGGTTTTCCTGCCAGCCTCCCACTTTGGTGCACCTTGAGTGTTTAAAATTTGATGTAGTCTCATTAAGATTTTAATAAATCTCAGAAAAGTATACCTAGGACAGGCCAAAACATGGAAGTGTACAGTTATAAAATATGAAGACTTTGTCAACCCACTTGTCATGATCTGAGAAGGTGGGAATTTGAGAAGGAGCAGCTAATTGGACCTGACTGTCTTCAGACTGAGACATTTAACTACCGCTAGGGCAATGCTTTTGGAGTCAGCCATGTTGCTGTTTAATTCACTCCCAAACCTCTCTCCCAAACCAATTAGGATTGCATCTCCCCAAAACACAAGCCATGAGGACACTATGGGGTACATGTTTCAAGTGGGACAAAATGTAAAGTGAGGAGATATGAATTGTCAATGGACAGGGCAAGTGTGAGAAGGGCTGCAAAGACAGAAAAGTGAAAATCAGAACCAAAAAGTATCGAACACCATGAATTACAAAATAATCACTACAGAGAAATAAAATCAGGCATGAGGAAATGTATCTATATATTTCTTGGAAACACAAGAAAAGGCACAAGGAATTAAACATAAGTAAGAGAAAATCATGCAAAGATGATAAAGAAAACAAACGTCCAGAGGGAGCTCACCTCAGAATTACAGACAATTCTGGAAAAAAGAGCAATCATTGAAAATCAGAGCCTGGGAACAAAAGTACATTTTTATTAAACTGTAGTGAAGAAATAGCTTTATGAATATGCATTGAGAAATTCCCATTTATTTTAAAACACATACATTTTTGGTAATGAAGTATTTCATTCAAAAGGGCTCACCACTTTCAGTCAAAATGGATGGAAAGAATCATAATTAGATATATCCTGAATATAACTTTTACTTTAAATGCTAACAAAACAAAACAAAAGGAAACTATAAGCTTCCAGGCAGAAAAATAAAGCACATGTGCAAAAGAATAAAAATCAGACTTCTTTGGAAGCCACAGTGTCAGTGGTCAGTGCAGCATGCCTACAGTGTTGAGGGAAAGAATCATATAAATAGAATATCACATCTTGCTGAATTTTCTTTTCTATGTGAAATGAAAGGTTCATTAATATACCAGTCACATATACTTCTTGAGAAAGCAACCAATTAAATAATACTCAGCCAACCAATAGTTTAAAGCTCAGATATTAGAAAAATTTCAAAGGGACTAAAATTTGTCATCCATTTCTAGGTATGTATTCTAAGTATGAACAAAAACAGGAACATAAAGATGTTTAGCAAAGCATCTTTATATTACATAAACAAGAGCAGACTCAGTAATCTCACTTCTAGGTATTTACCCAAGAGAAATGAAAGCTTATGTTCACACAAAACCTGTATGTGAATGTTTTTAGCAGTTTTTTTCATAATTGCCTCAAACTGGAAACAACTCAAATATGCAGATACGGAATAAAAACTTGGGCATGCATTCAACAGAATAATACTTGGCATTTAAAAAGTTGCAAACTACTGATATACACAACAAGAATAAATTTTAAATGTATTGTGCTAAAAAAGAATCCTTCTTGAAAAGCTACTCACTGTAGCTTCCTATTGATTCAATTGATATCACATCCTGCAAGAGTCTTGATGTTGGGGTCAGAAAACAAATCAGTGATTGCCAGGAACTGAGTGGGGAGAGATGGACCACGAAGGGGTGACACGAGGCATCTTTAAAAATGACAGCACTGTTCCAAATATTGATCGTGGTAGTGGTTCCTATACAGCATGGGTTTGTCAAATCTCATAAAACTATATAACTCCCCAAAGTGAGTTTTACTGTGTGTAAATTGTAAAAGAAGGAAACAAAGAAGTAATACCATTATAAGAGGTAGTATCTGTTCAATGTGAATATTCTTAACACGTACACTTTTATGTTATTTGTGTTTTACCAGAATTCAGAAATTTTAATTCAAAACTAACAAAATGAAGTCTGTATAATGGATGGTTATGTAATCATTAAAGGAATTTTCCCTAAGCATTATCAGTATTTATAATATTAGATTAAAACCAATCCAAAATTGAATTCACAGTATGATTTTCAACTCTGCAAATAAATCATGATGGAAATGCTAGAAGATTAAATTCCAAAAATATTGGAATTGCTGGAGTGATTTGGGATGAATGATCTTCCACCTTGAGACCTCTTCTTTTTCTTTTTGGTACCAGTGATTGAAATCGGGGATACTTGACCACTGAGCCACATCCCCAGCCCTAATTTGTATTTTATTTAGAGACAGGGTCTCACTGAGTTGCTTAATGCCTTGCTTTTGTTGAGACTGGCTTTGAACTTGAGCCGATAGGATTATAGGTGTGTGCCACTGCGCCTGGCTATCTTGAGACTACTTGGTACTGTGTTGGTCAGTTTTGCATCACTGTGACCAAAATACCTGACAAAAACATCTTAGTGGAAGGAAAGTTTATTTTAGCTCATGGTTTCAGAGGTTTAGTCCATGATTGGCTGACTGTTGCTCTGGACCCAAGGTAAGGAGGAGCATCATGGTGTAAGTGTATAGCAGAAAAAAGCTACTTAGGTCATAGCCACAGGGAAGCTACAGGTGCTTCAGGGAAGATGAACCCATCTAGGACTTCTCCAGCCGTAGCCCACCTGCCCACAGTTACCACCCAGTCAGTCCATTCCAAGTAGGATGGATAGATAAGGTTACAATTCTCATAATCCAATCATTTCACCTTGAATATTCCTATATCAATACAGTACTTTTTTGGAGACACCTCATACCCAAACCATAATAGGTACATTACTTTTTACCTGTTCCATTTATGATCAGTAAAAATATAATCATCAGAAAGTACACGTAGAGAGTATATTGCTGACTCTATCAATCACTTCATGTAGATTCAAGATTCACTTTTTAAATATTTCTGTTCTCACAGGACTAAATATTTTTAAAAAGCTGCAGTGTTAGGCAATTTTGTCATTGTGTAAACAGCATAGAATGCATTTACACAAGCAAACATGGGTACGAAGTCACTATACATTATTATTTTGGGGGACCACCTTCATTTATATAGTCTGTTGCTGACAAAAAATGCCATTATGTGACAAAGTCATTATTTTCTCTTGTTTTTTTTTTCTTTTTTCCTTTAGGAATTGTGAAGGACAGAACATTCGTTACAAGACATGTAGCAATCATGTAAGTCCTATAATCAGAACATATAATCCCAAAAATATTATAACTCTTAAGTTATAATATTATAATATGTGTTGTTAAAAACTAATGGTCTCTCAATAACCTTTGTAGAAAATTTGAATATTTCTTTAGTTGGCAACAACTTTTGTATATCCAGCATCTTTTCCACTTATATGCCCTTTTATGTCATTTCAAGGTCATGATCTAATTTGGTCAGTATTTAATAATTTCTGAATTTATAGAAACCAGTACACAATACTTTAGACTCCTTCAAATTCAAAGTGCTTCACAAGGTCTCTGCATTATAGGAAAGTGAAATATGTGAATGAGGGGACTGAGGCTGAGTTGGGTAAATTATTTTCTGAAGATCACACAGGAAGGCTACAGACCTGAATTGGTCTAGTGTTGTTTTTGCCATTGCAAACCACCTGTTGTGTCCACTGCAAAATATGTTCAGGTGACTCATCAGAAAACCACACACAAGTTTAGATAATCATACTTTCATTTTACATCAGTCAACATTAAAAGAAATTAGAATATTTTTCTTTACAAATATAAAAATGCAAAGTAAACATCAGAAGGAACAGATCTTGTTTTCCACTCAGAGTGTTTCCTTTTGGTGACACATACCTAAATCAAAATATCAGGAATTTAAAGGGAGTTATGAGAATCTGGAGAGATCATCTGAATGAGATTTAGGTTTTTCTTAAGCTTTGTTAGATGATGAAGTAATATTCTAGACAATAGTAACTAAAGTATGGTAGCTTGTTTTTGTTGTTGTTGTTGTTGTTGTTGTTTTTTTGTACTAGGCATTGAACCCAGGGACATTTACCACTGAGCCACATCTCCCTTTTTGCTTTTTATTTTGAGACAGGGTCTCACTGAGTTGCTTAGGATCTTGCTAAATTGCTGAGGCTGGCCTCCAACTTGTGATTCTTCTGCCTTACCCTCCTAAGTCACTGGGATTACAGGTGTCTACAATCACATTCAGTGCCTGGTAGTTTTTAAGAGATAAACCTTGGAGTTGCTGAGGTAAAGGAAGGAAGAATATTTTAAGATACTATTGTAGAAACTCCAACATCTGAAACAGTAGCACAGACCTTCTGCATATTCAGTTATCAAGGGACAAGGGTCAGTAAAGAATAGGGAACAAACTCTGAGAGGCAACTGAAGAGAAGTCCGAGAAATGAAGGCCTCCCTCCATACCAGTTGGTCTCCCACTCCCACATCTCTGGGTGGATCTTAGCCCAGGGAAGATCCTGTTTAAGGAGCACAGACTCTGGCTGCTGTATTTCAGAATTCTGCCCACTGCAGCAGAATACACTAAAAACAATAGGTTCCAGGCACTCAAGGAAAAATCAGATGCTCTTTTGGTTTGTTTTGAAGTCTGGATGCCATAGGGACATGCATTCAGAGAGCACAAGGAAATTCCATCCCCAACCTGCAGGAGACCATGCCTCAAACAGCAGGAGTAGGAGCCTCCACCAGGGCTCTGGGACCACACTGCCCTCCCCAGCAGGCTACGGTTCAGTGGCTCTCCCAGGTTCATTCTATCAGGAGAGATGGGGCTTTGGACTCAGGCTGAAAGATTAAGGAACAGAACATGCCTGTGTGCAGGACTCTGGCTCCCAGGTGACTGCCATCTTCAGACATAAACCTCAGCATATATCCTTACAACCAAGTCCCGGGTAAAGAATTATCCTTATCACAGGTATATCAGAGCAAATGGAAAATTTCCCAGCGAAGTCATGCATGTCAGTCAGTAGTGAATTCAGTAACTACTCATGTTTTTTTTTTTTTTCTTTTTTAATGCTGTGTTTATAGGATTAAAGGCAAGACTGGAAGAGGCCAGGGGAAAATATTTGTTAAATTATACAGCATATATCACAATTTGACAAGAATATTTGTAACATGAACATATGTATGTGTGCGTGTGTGTGTGTGTATTTTGGGGGGAGGTGCTGCGGATTGAACCCAGGGGCACTTTACCACTGAGCTCTATCCCCAGCACCTTTTAATGTTTTAACTTTAAAAATTTTTCTTGGGGCTAGGGATATAGCTTAGTTGGTAGAGTGTTTGCTCTGCATGTGCAGGCCCTGGGTTCAATCCCCAACACCACCCCCCCGCCAAAAAAAAAAATTCTAGATACAGGGTTTTGCTAAGTTGCTTAGGGCCTTGCTAAGTTTCTGAGGCTAGCTTTGAACTTGTGATCCTTCTGCTTCCTGAGTTTCTGGGATTTCAGTCCGCCACCGTGCCCAGCCATGAACATGATTTTTTATGAGTGTAGTTAGCTCAGTGCAGTGGGTTCTCTAGGATCCCTGATGACTTCCCAAAACAGGCAACATTTGATGTGGCCCTTAAAGGTCCTTCATACCATGGATCCTATGCATGGTTTCCAATACCTTTTGATTCTGTGTTTTTCCTCGAGATGTTCTTGTCTTTCCATTGCTGTTGGTTGCTCCTGCTCTAGGAGAGAGCCACTTCTCCTGTCTCCAGCCTTCCAGGCCATCCTGCAATTACACTGGTCTCCTCAAATGGCACCTATTCTGTGTCAGTCCCCTGCCTGCATCTTGGTGTTCTCTGATCCCCTCCCTTGCATACAAGGGCGTTCAGAAGTTGACTAGGTGTATTTCTTATGCATCTCACAATTGCCACCCTTGCTGGACAAGACTGTGCACTGTTGCTAGTGGATACTAAATTTATTCCTCCTAGTTCTCTTTTGCTCATATTGTTTCCTATATCTTGGCCTATTTACAACTCACCATCCAGTAAATCTCATCTCAGACTTCACTTTACCACAATGTCTTCGTTACCAACTCTAGCTTATGGTGACCAGTTGGTAGTTTGTTTTTATATTAGAAATTTTTGTCGTTTGTTATACAAAAATATCACAAAATTTAACCTTTAAAATTTGCTTACAACAAAAACTTTATTTTTCTTTGATCCCTACTCACTAGTTAACTGGATGAAACATTAACCAATGTCCAAATTACAGCTTAATACATTCCCATTATATAAATAGTTTCTTAGGTAATGGTCTGTCTCTCTTGCATAAAAATACCCAATTTATTAGGTAATCTTCCTGCCTTGGCTTCTCTCTTTAAGTTGTCCACATTCCTGTAGTTGTAAGAGGGTAAGGAGACCCCTGTTTTCAGGGTGGTCTGTGAATGGGTGCTAATGGTCATCAGCTTCTTTCTTCTTTTCATTCTTCCTTCCTCCACCCCTCGGCCTCCCTTCCTTTCCCCCCTTTTCTTCTTCCTCTTCCTTCTCTGAGCCTCCTCTTCCTTTTCTGTGTTTCCCAGACTGGCTACTCCCTCTGAGACACAATTCTTTTTTAGATGTACCAATTCTGTCTATCAGATTAGAGTCAGGTCTTGCTGATCTCAGGTCTGTTCTTTCCTTATCAACTCTTAATTCATTTTATAATTTAACTCTTGGATAACAATTTTATTTCCTTTATTTCATTCCTACTGCAAATCTACAAATGCCAGTAATTGCACACCGTTTCCATGTGTTTCATGCATGTAGATGTGATCAGAGAACAAGCTCATGGAATGCGAAAGTTGGACTATATCCTGTTCCCTATAGCATATGATCTAGGGGGAAGCTCATAAAGTATATTTAATAAATAAGTGCTGCCTTGAACTTAACTCTGATTAAGAAATACTTCTCAGGGAAAGGAAAGGAGAAGAATGTTGGGCATTTGAGTCTCCATGTAAAACACAAGAGCCCCTAGATTGTCTTGAGCTGGGGCCTGGCCCAACTGAGCTGCACTAGGTGGGCTTAAGTGCTGATGATGTAAATGCAAGCATTTAATGTAAGTATTTAATGTAATGGCTCCTGCCTTTAATCAAAAGCCATATCATATAATGGAGTGCTTGCTGATTTGAATATCAAATTATTAACTCTGCCATATCCCGTTGTATTTTTTTTGCTAGGGGCTAAACACTTTGTAGGTCATGATTTCCTCCATTTATCAAATAGTGCGGACCTGCCTAGCTTAAATGGTGTGGAGAAAAAAGAACGCCCCTAATAACCTCTGGCAGACTAGGAAGCATTATCTAGATTTAAACCTGTCTTCACCAGCAATCATCATTTTCTAATGTTACAAGGCAATAGTTTCCTCAGTTCTTATCTTCTCAAAAGAAAGATTTCATCCGGTGACACAGAATAAGCATTAAAATTCTACTTAGTGAAGTGGAAGTAAGGCCCAGAGACCATGGAGCTGGCTGTTCTAAGAGAGGACACAGCCTGGGGGTTTCCACATGGCAGGTTTTTACATTTGGTCTTGGAAGCTTCCTTTCTCATGTATTATGTTTGGGATGGTTACTGTGGTTTCCCACCATGGCTTAGTGCACCTGAGCTCATTTCACCATGTTGGAAAAATTCATATCAGTACCTAAGTGGGATCTATGGGGCTTTGGAGGGGGTGTCAAAACTGCATTATAAATTATATTACAGTGAGCCTAGAGTTACCAAAATGACAGTGACAGTGATTTGCATATGCTCCAAAGTTAGAAAATCCCTTAGTGTGGTCACACCCAATTTCTTTAATTTTAGAAGGTAGTATCTTGTGGTGAAGGAGGTTTTTACATCTCCTGAGGTAAAGTGATCTTTCATAACTAAAGAAGAAGTGAGCCCTATTCTCCCTCTCCCATCCTCTTGCTCTATCTACCTACCTACCCCACTCTGACACAAGGAACAGAGAAGCCTACTAAAATGAGCTCTAGAAAAATGGGATTCATTGAATGGATTTGTGGTTACAGAATGGAATTTAAGCATAAGTAGGCCTTGAAGACCTGGAGCCAAAAATCAGAAAGGAACATAGGTTACTTGCCCCTTTTATTGAAATGCATGGTTTATCATCTTCTTCCTTATCTAATTCATTCTTCTCTGCTGTGGGAACTACCTTGGTTTGCTTCAATATTCATTTCATAAAAGAAATGGCCAGCCCAGCCTGGACTCATGTGACTTCTCAGCTCTGGCTCTTTTGGTTGCAATTCCAAATGGGGAAAAATTAACCTGGCATGGGCCAGATACTTGCTCCCGGGTGGTCAGCTATGGCCAGGGAGGACACACACCTGGCTACAGTTTGGGCAGGGACTAAGCTTAGCTGCCATTCTAAGCTGTCTTCTGTTAACTAACTTTCATTAATTTTTTGAAACTTCATTGTGTTATGGAGTTAATGAAGGCCAGAGCGAGGCAGCCAGCACATTCCTGTCTGGAGAGTGCTGGCAACGTCAGTCAGGGGCCACGTGCAGGGGAGTTGCCTGCACCCTGCTGCTCTCTTACACATGTTTCTTTGGTTTCAAAGAATCAGATACAGAAAAAACTGGCTGTGGCTAGAGGAAAAGGAGGTGATGTCATTTTATCATTGATCTTGTCTATGGCCAGATGGAGGATAAAGTCCTCATTTCAAGAGAAAAAAGTCATCTGGTTCCAGTGTTCTTCAGTTTGACTTGCTTCCATAGGTGTGACCTGAGTTCAGAATTTAATCTGCCTAAGACTACAAAAATGTGGATACAAAATGGTATTTTGGAGGGGTTCTCAGCAAAACAGCCCAACTAATTCCAGGAGATAGTTTGTCAGTTGTTTTTTGTGTATTCCCTACTCACTCTCCAAACAAGATTCAAGGCAGTTAATAATACAAAATCTGAAAGCATATACATGGTGAATCACAAAGGTCAAGTAGTAGAAAGGAGAGAAAGTATGATTTAAAATCCTGGCTGAAAATTTATTAGTATTTATTAGTGAGAAAAAAAATAGAGCTAGATTTCTGACTCATACCATTCATCAGAATAAACTAAGTACCAAAAGCAAAATTAAATGGGAAAAAATATTTCTAGCACAAATGACAAAACTTGATAACCTCACTATGAAGTTAATAGTTTTATCTGCTAAAATAATAAACAACATACTTTCCAGTAGATAAATGAATCAAGGATATAAAATAGGAAATTTTTGAAGGGTTGGTACAAAAAGCAAACATACATGAAGACATTAAACCTAAATAATAAAAAGAAAATATAGAAGAAAGCAATGAAATTCTGTTTTATACTTTTGATTAGAAGAATATTAAAAAAATTATTAACGTACAAACTTGGAAGAAGTATCGAGAAAAAGGAACTTATATAACCTGGCAATAATACCTTTATAGAGGACAATTTGGCAGTAGTTTGAATAGTCCACAAAACTAGCATACTCTTTGACTTAGAAACTAGTCTTCGGGAGATAACCAAAATTTGTATAAAGATTTAGATACAGGAATCTTTGTTACTTATTTTTTTAATTTATTTTTTTAAATACATGACAATAGTGGAATACATTACACTCATTACTATCCATACACAGCACAATTTTTCATAACTCTGTATATAAAGTATGTTTACGCCAAATTATGCCATTATACATGTACTCTTTTTTTGGCATTACAATTCTTAATACACATATAAGTTACTTATTTTTAATTGGAACTATTTCCCCAAGTGTTTACAAAGAATACTAATTATTTTAATAGTAAAAGATCAAATAATATATTGCCTTTTTCTGTATCTGTTTTCTTTAATTAGGAATTTTGGTGTACCAAAATTCAATGAGGAAAGTCAACGCTTTTATCATCCAGCACCTTATTCTGGAAATGCCTAGAGGAAAGAGTTAGTAATTTAGTAAAAAGACCCCAGAATCATCAATACTTGTCCAAGTGCTTTTTATAAACTATCATTATGAAAGTGCCTTTAGAGTGTTTGCTACAATTTACTTGTTTTCATTTTAGACAGAATTTGAACAAGCGACATTATCTGCTGCCCAGCCTACAGCCAGTGGAAGCAAGTGTTTGGTATCAGTGAAGAGCAAAGGGTGGGGGGCATGGCAGGGGAGAAAAGGCACATGAATTAAACAACAACAAAGATAACAAGTTTCACAAAGCCCTGTAGTTTGGGATTAAATTAGGAGCAAATAACCCTTCCCATTGAAATGACTCCAGAAAGCATGAATAATAATTGTGTTTCTCTGAAGACCTAGAATCACCTAGAAATATCAAGGGCCTTTAGTTTCCCTTGTTTCAAAAAAGAAGGAGGCCATATATTGCACTTGGAAATTTGTATCTAAGATTGTTAAATGAGGGCAAGATTTGATACCTAAAATGGTAAACTTTAATTATCTGATAAACAAAAATACCCGAGTGGAAAAGTCATCAGAATGAATGAGATGATGGATTAATTAATCCTGTATGGATTATTATTGCAAGATCCCAAGTGGAATTTCATAGCTATAGATTCAGTTTCTAATTTTTAAAAAGGAGGAAATAATGAAAGAATGAGGTGTTATTTCCAAGTAAAGATGCAAGTGGAGTCTGGTCTTATGAAATTCTGGTGGCCTTGCTCAGCCCTCTGCTGGCCCCTGTCCCTGGTTGATGTGTCAGAGGGTGATGTTCCTTTTTCTCTGCATCCAGGACTGTCCCCCAGATGCAGAAGACTTTAGAGCCCAACAGTGCTCAGCCTACAATGATGTCCAGTATCAGGGGCGTTATTATGAATGGCTTCCACGATATAATGATCCTGCTGCGCCATGTGCACTCAAGTGTCATGCACGGGGACAGAACCTGGTAGTGGAGCTGGCACCCAAAGTACTGGATGGAACTCGTTGCAATGCTGACTCCCTGGATATGTGTATCAGTGGCATCTGTCAGGTAAGCCACACCTGCCTCCCATGTACCTGATTAGGGTATGTGTCATGACACCTCTTGATATTTCTTCTGTACTTTTTGCTCACACAGGAAAATATTGGCTTTTATTATTATTTATTTTTAAAGGCAATCTTTTTAAAAATATTTTTTACCTGTCAATGGATCTTTATTTCTTAATTATTTATGTGTGATGCTGAGAATCGAACCCAGTCCCTCACACATGTTAGGCAAGCTCTCTACCACTGAGCCACCACCTCAGCCCAAAGTAAAAATATTTTAGAGAATGCCACTAGCCTTTAAATCATGTTTTAATCATTTAAAATACTGTAAACTTTACCCACAGAGAACCAAATGATTGCAGTATATGACTTGTGATTCCTCTTGATCATTGATTCTCCAGTGGGAATAGGCATCAGAATCCCCTGGAGGGCTTGTGTTGACAGAGTACTGGGCCCATCTCCAGAATTTCTAACTCAGTGGTCTGGACTGGGGCCCAAGAACTTGCACTTCTAACAAGTTCTCAGGAGATGCTGATGTGGCTGGTGGAGGACCACACTTTGAGAACCACTGCTTTGGAAGGATAACACTGGTGGTCTCTCTTATTAAAATCAATCCATTGTTTTGGGTATTTGGGAGCAGGGATTCACTGAAATCCTAGCAGGAATGCATTCCAGCAGGTTTCTCAGATGGACTTTGCAGAACTCTGTTACATATGACTGTGACTGAGACATAAACCCTTATAATAAGTGTGAGATTTGAGGATGCTGCGGTTGGCTGCAGAGACAGTGTAGGGGTCACAGGAAAATGATAGGAACTTCTTCTGAAACTCTAAAAATTGTTTAAAAAAATAACAAACATCTAGCTTTCCATATGTTCAGTTATTCTCATAACAAATGCAGCAACGATAACAGCAAGGGAGCAACCCCACCACCCATCAAGTGCCAGGTACTCCAGACTTTCAGACTTGAAGAGGAGCTTTGAACTCTGGTTTTGTTGCATTAGCTTAGGACTTCCAGGATCACATTGAAAAGTAGTAATGAGAGGGGCATCTTTTCCTTGTACCTGATCTCAAGGGGAATGTATCTAGTTTCTTTCTCACCATTAAGAATGATGTTAATTCTAAGGTTTTTTTTTTTTTAATAAACTTTCATTGTCAAGTTGAGGAAATTCTCTTTTATTCCTAGTTTGCTGAGAGTTTTAATTATGAATACTCTAGTGATGGATTTTGTCAAATCCTTTTTCTGAGTCTCTTGATACGGTCATTTGTTATTTTTTATTTTAGCCTATTGATGTGATGAATTATATTAATTGATTTTTAAATAACCAACATTTCATACCTGGGATAAATTCCATTAGGTTGTGGTGCATAATTTTTTCTATACATTGTTGGGTTTGATTTACTAATGTTTTATTGAAGACCTTTATATATGTGTTCATAGGAGAATGAGTTAGGAAGTATTCCCTCTGCTTCTGTCTCCTGAAATAGATTGTAAAGAATTGGTATAGGGCTAGGATTGTGGCTTAGCGGTAGAGCGCTCGCCTCACACAGGCAGGACCTGGGTTCGATCCTCAGCACCACATAAAAATAAAGGGATTGTGTTGTGTCCATCTACATCTAAAAAATAAAAAAGAAAAAAAAAGAATTGGTAAAATTTCTTCCTGAAGAATTTGGTTGAATATAGTGGTAAACCCACTTGGGTTCAGTATTTTCTGTTTTTGAAGGTACTTAATTATTGGTTAAGTTATTTTGACATGGACCTACTTTGTCTATTTTTTCTTGTGTGATTGTGGGCAGATTGTGTTTTTCAAGATGTGAGTCCAACACCTGGGTTATGAGCTTATGGGTATAGATTTGCCCATAATATTCTTTTATTCTTTCTTTAGTGTTCATGGTTCTGATCTATAACAATGCTTCTGCTTTAATTTCTGATAATAGTATTTTGTTTCCTCTCTTTCTTTTCTTAGCCTAGTTAGAGGCTGACTAATAAGATATTAATTATATAAAACTCTTAAAAAACAACTTTTGGTTTTGTGGATTTTCTCTGATGAGTTAGTTACCATTTTCACATTGACTGAATTTTGCTCTATTTTTTTGTAATTACTTTCTTCTGCTTACTTTGGTTTTAATTTGCTTTTCTTTTCTAGTTTTCTAAGGGAGAAACATAGATGATTGATTGCACCTCTTCTTGTTCTCTCTTTTTTCACATTCTGTATTTTTTTAAATTAGTGCATTATAGTTATATGTAATAGTGGGGATTTATTTTGACACATTCATAAGTAAATATCACATAGTTTGCTTCATTTCTTTTCTTCTCCTTCTCTGATTCCCTTCCTTTATCTTTTTGGTCTTCCTTCTATTTATTATTATTATTATATTATATTATTATTATTATTATTAGTAGTAGTAGTAGTAGTAGTAGTAGTACAGGGAATTGAACCCAGGAGCACTTAACCACTGAGCCACATCCTTAGCCCTTTGTGTATTTTTATTTAGTGACAGAGTCTCACTGAGTTGCTTAGGGCCTTGCTAAGTTGTTGAGGCTGGTTTTGAACTCCTGATCCTCTTGCCTTAGCTTCCTGAGCCTAGTTATTTATTTTTAACTGGTGTATTTAGTTATATATAACATTGGAATTAAGTGTGATATATTTATACATGCACATATCTTAATTTGATCAACTTCATTCCCTAGATGACTGTATTTATGTGGATTTGTCTCTGAATTCTAGTCTTTTCTATTGGTCTTCATACTTATTTTTATGACAATATATACTGTTTGCATTATATAGCTCTGTAGTTTAATTTGAGATCAGTTATTGTGATTCCTCTAGCATTACTCTTGCTGCTCTGGATTGCTTTGACTATTCTGGGTCTTTTATTCTTCCATATAAAATTTAAGACATTTTTCTAGTTCTGTAAAGAATGCCATTGGAAATTTGATTGGGACTGCATTGAATCTGTGGATGGCTTTTGGTAAAATGGCCATTTAAGATATTAATTTTACCTACCTATGATATTAATTATACCTGTACAGTCTTTCCATCTTCTAAGGTCTTCCTCTATTTCTTTCATCAGTGTTTTATAATTTTCATTGGAGAAATCTTTCACCTTTCTGGTTAGATTTATTCCCAAGTGTTTTTTTTTTTTAGATAGTTGTGAATGGAATAGTTTTCTTCAGGTTCATTGTTAGAATATAAGAAAGCTATTGATTTTTGTGTGTTCATCTTGAAACCTGCTAGTTTGTTGAATTTGTTTATCAGGGTTAGAAGTCTTATGGTGAAGTTTCGAGGTTCTCTAGAATTATATCATCAGCAGAGATATAATTTTCTTTTTTATATTCCTTTAATTTTCTTCTCTTTTTTATATTCCTTTAATTTTCTTCTCTTGCTTGACTGCTGTGGCTAGAGTTTCAGGAACTGTATTGAGAAGGAGTGGTGTGAGTGGACGTCTTTGCATTGTTTCCTGATTTTGGAGGAAATACTCTCAGTTTTTTTCTGTATAGTATGATGTTGGCTTTAGCTTTGTCATGCATAGCCTTTAAAATGTTGAGGTGAATTTCTTCTATTTCTAGTATCTTAACTGTGTTTAACTGAATGGGTGCTGAATTTTGTCAGGGACTTTTTCTGCACCTATTGAGATGCTCATGTGATTTTGTCCTTGATTCTGTTTATGTGATGAATTACATTTATTCAGTTATGTACATTGAACCAATCTTCAGTCTATGGATTTGTTTGCCTATAAGATGAATCTCTTGCAAACAACATATTGTTGGGTCTTGTTTGCTAATTCACTCTACCAGTGTCTTAATGGGAAAGTAGAGACCATTTGCATTCAGAGTTATTATAGAAAGATGTTTATTATCTGGTCATTTTGGCTTGTTTCATGGTTTTAACTTGTCCTTAATTTTCAGTTGCTTAATTGTTCCAGATAGCTTCATCTATTTGAGAGTTCTGAGGCTTCTTTTTAAATTCTTTTTGTAGCATTTCCTTAAGTATTTTCTTTAGTGCTGGTTTAGTGGTCACAAATTCTTTCATTTCATCCTTGTTGTAGAAATTTTTAAATTTCCCTTTCAATTCAGAATGATAAACTTGCTGAATATAGCAACCTTGGCTGGCATTTTTTTTTTCTCTCAGAGCTTGTATTACCTCATTCCAAACTCTCCTGGCTTTTAGAGGTTGAGTTAAGAAGTCTGAAATGAATATTGTTGGTCTACTCTAAAAGTGATCTGATATTTTATCATGCAGTTTTTTTTTAATACTGTGTCCTTGTTTTCTTTGTTAGACATTTTGATTGTGATGTGTCTTGAAGAGGTTATTTTTTGATCTTGCCTATTTGGGCTTCTGTATGTGTTCTGTATGTGGACATCCACTGCATTCCTAAGGTTCAATTTTTTTCTGCTCTCATCTTAATTAAAATGTTCTTAATGCCATTAGCCTGTATTCTATGCCCTTGTCTATCCTGATAACTCAGTAAGTCATCAGGATAGTTTCATCTCTTAATGTTGTCTCAGAGTTCTTGTATATTTTGATCATGGTCTTATCTTTATTTTTCTTTAGTGTGTGTTGAGTGTTCCAGTTCAAATACCCTGTCCTTGAGGCCTGAGGACTGTTTTCAGTTCAATCTAGCTTATTGGTTATACTTTCAAGTGATTTTTAAAAATTTTATTTATTGTCTTCCATTTCCAGGACTTCTCACTGGTTTCTATTCAAAAATTGTTATGGGGATTATAACTTTTGTGGGGAGACATGATTGTTTCTTCATGGTTTCCAAAGTTTTGGACTCGTGGAGCTCTTGAGATGGATCCACTTTCTCTTTCATAAGGATGTTCATTGGTGTATAGTTGTCTCTTTTGTAATAAGTTGTTGGTATCTCTTGGTTTCAACATATAGGTTCAGTGCAATCCAAGTATTAATTTCAGATGCCAATGCCTCTCAGTTTGCCATTGCAGAACTGCTGAATTAATTAATTTTTATAAAGCAGCTATAACACGATGGCTTTTTTTTGA